CTCCCACGTGTTATTCCTATTGGTCCCCAACATTGTAAACCCTCCCCCCAACTCCTCCCCTGAGATGCCCTGATTGGTTCCTGTGTTTGTACCCTCCCCACCTTAAATTAGAGCGCACAGAGGTGCTCCTTGCTCAGACCGTCCTACCCTTGACCTTTCCAGTCCTTCCCCCATCCACTGCTCCCGACCCTGGAATAAAACCTGGTTTCTGGAGAGAACCTGGGACTCTGAGCCTCCTCCTTGCCTTCATCGGGCACCCACGACGCACCTGAGACCGCAGAGCTTGGTGGCTTACAGGCTCTGAAGGTTCGGTCTGGGACAACGAGCTCCCAGACCGTTCCCCACTCCCGGCGCTGCCAGCGGCTAGGGAGCAGGAGCTAGCCAGGGCGAGGAGAGCCGCGGCAGGGGCAGCGTCAGCTGAGCTCTTGCCACCTTGACATTGATTATTCTGTAAGTAAAAAGGGAATTGAGAACTTGCCTCCAACATCCTCCAAGAATTTCGAGCCATTTTCCACCAGGGCTTCCACATAATCCATATCACAATCCCAATCTACAACGGAGCACACATGAGAACCCTTTTCAGTCCATTCTGGGATCCCCTTCTGCCTTAGGGAACTGGGCACTGCAGCGGGTTTGGGTAAGGCCATGGGAGCTATGTGCCAATGGACAGGGCCAAATCTGCAGAGGGGCCTGGGGAGCTCTGGGCTGGCTGCTGGTCACTCTCCACCCTCTTTCCATGCCCTGTGCAACATCCCTGGAGAGGTAAGTGGGGCAGCCGGGGGCTCCTGGGAGCTCTCTCCCCTCCCAAAGAGAAAACCCTCCCTAAAGCCCTGGGGAAAACAACAGCAGGCAGTGCCACAAATATCCCTTCCCCGCTCCATCCCTCCTGCCCTCCCTCTGCTGGGACAGCTCCTACAGCCCAAGGGGACAGAGCCAGGCCCTCTCAGGATGCAGTGGAGCCTTGACCTCCCCCTCTGCCCTTTCCCCACCACGGGCACCCTTTTGCAGCCACTGCTGGGTTTTGGGACGTGTCTCCCATGCAGGGAGCCCAACAGGACTGATCAGTAGCCGACTGTCCTGAGCCTGCTGGGGATAATTCCTCTGGGCTGTGCCGGTCTTGTCCAGGCTGTGCCTGCACTGCCAAGCAGCAGAGATGGCAGCTCAAGCCTCAGCAGGGCTCAGGCCCAGAGGCACAGCAATTACCTCCTGGGACTGTGCCTGGCATGGCCTCCCTTCCTGCAGCAGAGGCTGCCAGTGAACCACTGCTTCCTCCGGGAAACACTGCCTTCAGCACAGCCTCTTCATCCACTTCTGCAGAAAGGAAGAGGCAGAGCTGGATCAGATGGAAACATTCCCCATTGGGGAGGTGGCATCTTCAGAAGGCAATGCTTGTCAAAGGCATGGTTAAAGATCAGGAAAATGTCCATGCTGTTGGGGCTGGCCCATAGCACTTCTTCCTGCAAACAGCTGCCCCTCCTGGTCTGCCCCAAGATCAGGAAATTGCAGGGGATCTCAGGGTGTGCATGGCCTGTGGTGCACTTGGGGCTCCCTGTCAGCTGATGCCAAATGCCTTCCTGCAGAGGCTGGGGAGAAGCTGCAGCCAGGCCAGGCTGGGGAACAGCCCTGCAGGCCGTGAAAGCAGCAGCAGGGCAATGAGGCTGCCATGGATCCCTTCCTGCTGTGCCGGGCACGGCGTGTCCAGATGTGCAGAGAAAGCCCCCGGCTGCTGAGACTCAGGAGAGAGCTGAGGGACACGGACCCACCTTGTCCTCCCTGAAGCATTTCCTTCAGCATTTTCCACATGACTTCAAATCGCTCCTGGGATTTCTTGTCTGAGGTGTATTTGGTCTTTTCTGTTGGAGGAACTTAACAGAAAATATTTCAACCTCCCAGGAATGGATCCCAGAAAAGCAGTGCTCAGGCTGTGGGGTCAGCAAGGACACCCTACTCACCGCTGGGATGGGAGTCAGGCTTGTGTGCAGCATCCAGCCCAGGAGCTGGAGAAATCCTTTCTTCAGACACACCTGTAACTAAACAGCCACAGAAGCTTCTCTCATCTCTGCTGATCTGCACAGGCAGCTCTGAGCTGCAGGAGCCCTGAGGGGATCGTGCAGGCCGAGGGCACACACGTGCACGGCTCTGTCCTGGCACCTGCAGTGATGCTGCCCTGGCCGAGCTCTGGGCTCTGAGCTGGCCGCTCTCCCTGGGGGAAAGGCCTTGACCTACCCTCACCACCTCTCTGAGGCTCAGTCCTGGGTGGGGGTTGAGGAGCTGCAGCGCCTTCACCAAGAGGCTTGGCTGCAAAGAAAGGCAGGACAGAACAGCTGCTGTGGCTCTATAGGAGATTCTCAGGGTCCCTGGGGCCAGCAAAGGAGCCGTGCAAGGCACAGGCCCGGGGCACAGCCCTGTGGCCCCTTCCCTGTCTGCTCTTCTCCGTGGCTACACAGAGCACACAGGAGACACTGGTATTGCACATGGGAAGAAGATTGACAGCTAAATGCTCCTTCCTCCCACTGACAGCAATCCTGTGGGATCACTCAGGGCTCCAGTGGGACAAGGTTTCAAAAACGTATCACCGCTGATATTATGTTAAGGGAAGTGGCACATGACTGAGCTCTTGCCACCTTGACATTGATTATTCTGTAAGTAAAAAGGGGAATTGAGAACTTGCCTCCAACATCCTCCAAGAATTTCAAGCCATCATTCATTACTTCCAGGTAATCCATGTGATGATTCCAATCTAGATTGGAGTACAGATCAGAACCATGTCCATGGTGCATTCTGGGATCCCCTTCTGCCTTAGGGGACTGGGCACTGCAAGGGGTTTGGGGTAGGCCGTGGCAGACAGTGTCAATGGACAGGGCCAAATCTGCAGAGGGGCCTGGGGAGCTCTGGGCTGGCTCCTGGTCACTCTCCACCCTCTTTCCATGCCCTGTGCAACATCCCTGGAGAGGAAAGTGGGGCAGCCGGGGGCTCCTGGGAGCTCTCTCCCCTCCCAAAGAGAAAACCCTCCCTAAAGCCCTGGGGAAAACAACAGCAGGTAGTGCCACAAATATCCCTTCCCCGCTCCATCCCTCCTGCCCTCCCTCTGCTGGGACAGCTCCTACAGCCCAGGGGGACAGAGCCAGGCCCTCTCAGGATGCAGTGGAGCCTTGCCCTCCCCCTCTGCCCATTCCCCACCATGGGCACCCCTTTGCAGCCACTGCCAGGTTTCAGGATGTGTCTCTCATGAAGGGACCTC